TAGATCCCCCCCTCCGCCGCAACTCGCGCGCCCGCCCCTCATCGCCCCTCCCCCCCCCTGAGCCCCCCCCCCCCCTGCCCGCTCCCCTGCCACAGATGGCGCGCCTGGTTGGGCAGAAGCGGGCGCGGGAGATGTGGTTCCTGGCGCGCCTGTACGATGCGCAGCAGGCGGGCCATGGGCCTGGTCAACACGGTGGTGCCGCTGCAGCAGCTGGAGGCGGAAACGCTGGCGTGGTGGGTGGGGTGGGGTGGGGTGTGGCGTGGGGGGGTGGGAGGCGGACGCAGCCACTCATGAGCATCTGGCCTGCCCCGCGGCGGTGTTGGACGCAGAGGCTTCCATCTGGGAGGCTGCTGCCTGCCCGCTTGCCTCCCCACCGCCCTGCCCGCTGGCCCCACCCTGCGCGCAGGTGCCGCGAGGTGCTGCGCAACAGCCCCACCGCGCTGCGCATCCTCAAGTCGGCGCTGAATGCGGCTGAGGACGGGCAGGCGGGCATCCAGCAGCTGGGCGGGGACGCCACGCTGCTGTTCTACCAGAGCGAGGAGGGCAACGAGGTGGGCCCCGCCACAGGAGGCAGAGGGGCCTGGTGGGCGGGCAGGGAGGGCTAGCGTGGCACGTAGGCGAGGGGGGGGGGGCGCTGTTTGCCGTGTGCTCGGCCGCCTACTGACAGCTCAGAGGTGGGCTGCCGCGCCTGTTGATGCAGGGGCGGCAGGCCTACATGGAGAAGCGCGCGCCAGACTTTTCGCGGTTCAAGCGGCTGCCCTGAGGAGCAGCTGGGCGGCGAGCAGGTCCATGAGCCCAGGCGCTCCTCAGGCACGCCCGGCAGGCAAACAGGCAGCACGAGCAGGTAGTCGGTTCATACACAAGCACAACTCGTACACTTGCAGCCACAGACGTATTGGCACAGTACTTGCAATCCTCACAGGTTACAGTCGATTGTATAGCAATGGCATGAAATGGGAAGCGGGGGCATGGAGAAGAGGACAGACCATTTCCCCATCTGCGTGGGAGTGTTCATTTTGCTACAGAGAAAAGTAGGGAGTGAGCTACAGGGAAAAGGGCAATCGTACAGGCAGAGCTGCCTGCCTGCCCCGACAGAAAAAAGTAGCCCTGGGAGGAGCAGCGGGCAGGAAGGAGCATTGTGCTAAAACATGGGGGTACAGGAAAGCAGGGAGGGCAAACATTCTGACATGAAGATCTCACTGAGCAGGCACACATGTGAACCAGCTCAATGAATGATAAATCATGGGCAATGAGAATAGCGGGGCAGGTGCTTGCCAGGACGGGGCCGCACACACCTGCTGCGGGACCTGGTGGCAAGGGCAGGCAGGACTCCACACGGGCGGCGCGGCCCTCGTCCTAGCAGCTAGGTGCCAGGCACTCTCGACACTCAATGCCAGTAGCAGATGCCGCAAGCGCCAGCGCCGCTGGCATGGTTGGCGGTGGCTGCCGCTGCTGAGCGGGGCGGCGCCTGCAAGTGCCAAGGGCGCAGCGCAGCGGCGAGTCAGCAGGCGCTGCTGTTTGTGCCGCACAGCAGGCGCGCGTTATTGAAGCCTGGAGGCCCAGCAGCAACTCCCTCGCGCGAGGCGCTCACCAGATAGGTGGCCGAACGCGTGGTGGCGGGCAGGAAGTCCACTCCGCCGCTGTTCTGGCGGCCTGCAAGCGCAAGGGGCAGCAGAAACGCGGTCTGGTGCCCATGCAATTCTGCCGTGCAGGTCGCGGCCTTGGCTGTTTGTGCGTCTTTGTGTGCTCTTACACGACCGCCACTTACTTGAGGTGGAGCACAGCTCTGAGAGCGACGGGAGGTGAAAGTTCTCCTGCGCCTGGCGGCGTGTGACGGTCTTTTCGCACATTCTGAAGCTTGAGGTCGTCCACAGGCGCAGCGCCGACCAGGAGCTCAGGTTGGGAGTGCGCAAGCGGCAACAAAATCACCCCTCATGGGCGCTGCCGCCCGCTGAGCTACCTAGGTGGGCGCTCCATGGGGGCGGGGATGCAGGCCCTCATGCAGAGTGGCATCAGCAGCTGTATGGCGGCAAATGCCGCTGTCTTTGCCCATGCAAAGCAAAGCAGGTCAGCCAATACTGATGCATCGACATTCTTGCTTGCTGCCCGTCATAGGCACTCACACATACTGCACAGCCGCCTGAGCGGCGCTGTGGCTCAGGGCAGCCATGTGGGAGCACGCATGCAGGGTCTTGCCTCGTACACACAGGACGCCTCGCACAGATCTCAGATCGGACTGATTGGGCCAGCAGTTCATCTCGATTTGGTTGCATCGCCGCCGCCACGTCAGCGGACTGCTGATGTGATGTCCTCCTCATGGCCTCCGGGGGTCTGAAGGACGTCCCCTTGCAGCTCCGCCATTTCCAATCAAACACTGGGAGGCTGGGAAGGGGCCTCTTGGTGCAGAACTCGATCAGCCGGCCGAAACAGTGGGGCCAATGCGCGCCTCATGGCTATTATGGGTGGCCATCCTGGCCGGCGCATGCATATCAGTGTCGTGTGCTGATGGAGAGGGGTTCTTGGTTGGCGTAGGTGCGTGTCGAGCAATGCCGAGGGTTCTGCGGCGAGCCAGGCGAGTACTAAAGATGCCAATCGCCTTCTGGGATGCAGGCAAGGCTGATATTACGGGGCCCGTGGCTGACGTCAACCTCATGGTGAGCGTCGGCAAGTATCACCGCCGCTGGCCGAGGCGTCACCACGTACCAGCACCTGCGCCCCACACTCCACCTCTTCTCTCGCCTCCTCCAAACCACCGCAACTGCCGCCTGGCTGCTGCAGGGCTACGCCAACCCGGACCAGTATGCGGCGGGCATCCACATCCGCCTGTATGCCCGCACCTTCATCGCCGCCGACGCCGCCAACCCGACCCGCCGCTTTGCGTTTGTCAACATGGACGCGGGCATGGCCTCCCAGGCAGTCACCTTCACGGTGGTGGCCCGCCTGCGGGAGCTGTACGGCGAGCTGTACACCGAGCAGAACGTGGCGCTGAGCGGCACGCACACGCACTCGGGGCCCGCGGGTGCGCCGCGGTGGTGGGGGGTGCGCAGGCAGCTAGCGCCGCGTGCAGTGCTGCTGCTCATGCCGCCGCCTGGCTGTGGGAGCAGCGGAACTGCTTCGCTCTGCTGATGCCGTGGTGGTGACCACAGCAGCAGCGCATGCCGCTGCCAAGTGCCTCTTTACCAAGGCGGCAGCTTCCTGGTCCGGGCAGCAGCTGGTGGTGCTGCCGTAGGCGTACCAGCCTGCTCCCTCCCTGCCGACCACCTGCATGCTGCCCCTGCGCCGTGCACGCATCCTGTACTGCATCCTGCACCGCAGGCTACCTGCAGTACGTTGTGTATGGCATCACCTCCCTCGGCTTCTACCCCCTCACATTCAACGCCCTGGTGGACGGCGTGGTGCTGAGGTGAGACCCTGGGCTGGCCAGCACGTGCGCGCGTGTGCCGCTGGTGGTGATGAGCAGTGTGGACCGCCCACGACTCGTGTGCATAGCTACTTGATGAAGAAGCCGTGCCCCATGTCTCCACATCTCCCCTGCTTGCTGCCTTTCACCGGAACACTCGGCCAGCCACATGACCCAGCTTGCCCTGCCCCTCCCGCCTCCCCCGCCCACCCCCGTGCCACCCCTGCGCCAGCATCCAGCGCGCGCACGACAGCCTGCAGCCGGGGGGGCTGTCTGTGGCGGCGGGGGAGCTGCTGGGGGCCAGCATCAACCGCAGCCCCACCGCGTATGTGGAGAACCCCGGGTGGGAGCGGGCGCGGTACCGCCACGACACCGACAAGCACATGACGCTGCTGCGCCTGGACGATGCACGCGGGAGGTGCGCCGGGGTGTGTGCGCGGTGGTGTGGGTGTGGGTGTGGGTGGGTGGGTGTGAGTGAGGCAGGCGCTTCGTCGGTGGATGGCTCGGTCTGCTGCAGTAGCGCCACATCTCGAGGCCCCCCCCGCAGTGTTACCCCACCCCCCCGCCCTCTCCCCTCTGGCGCAGGGCCCTGGGCGCCTTCTCTTGGTTCCCAGTGCACGGCACCAGCATGAACAACACCAACAGCCTGGTGTCGGGAGACAACAAGGGCGCCGCCGCGCAGTTCATGGAGCGGTGGGCGGCGGCGGCGGCGGCTGGAGCGCCTGCGCCAGCAGAGCTGGTCCCTGGGCACACCGCCGGCGCCGCCAACGTGTCTGCCGGCCTGGTGGCGGCCTTCTGCCAGGCCAACGTGGGGGACACGTCCCCCAACACCCAGGGCGCCTTTTGTGGCGACACGGGCGAGCGGTGCGACGCGGTGCACTCCACCTGCGGCGGCCGCGTGCAGCAGTGCATCGGGCGCGGCCCCGCCTGGCCCAACCACGCAGAGTCGACCCGCATCATCGGGCAGAAGCAGGCCGACAAGGCACAGGAGCTGCTGCTGGGAGGTGGGCAGCTCCCCTTGCTGCCTGCTGCCTGCACGCGCAGCCGTCTGCAGCGGGACGCAGCGGCAGGGGCAGGGGCAGCAGAAGGGAGTCTAGGCCGCCAATCGGCACGGGGGCCACACCTGCCTGCAGCCTGGCGGCGGCCACACATGCTGCGCCGCCCTGGCGCCGCCCCACCTCGCTGCGCGCTTGCCTCCTCGCTCCCCCGCCTCGCCCCCGCCTGCCTGTGCAGAGCGGGAGGTGCTGGGGGGGCCCATTGACTACCGCCACGCCTTCCTGGACATGCGGGGCATCCGGGTGCGGGCAACCAACTTCACACAGCCCGGCACCACCTGCAAGCCCGCCATGGGCTTTGCCTTTGCGGCGGGCACCACCGACGGTGGGCGGGGGGGGCGGCACGCGCCTCTGGGTGTGCTGTGCTTTGGGAGGGGGCCCTCCTGGTCAGGCGAGGGTTGCTCCCAGTGGTTTGCGGGGGTGAGAGTGGGAGCCGACTGCCTCCGGCACCCAGACTTGTCATTCCTGCGTCCCAGCAGCGCCCAGCCCGGCACTGGGACACGGCTCCCGCTGCTAGCTTGCCCCCCCGCCGCCGCCTCCTGCCCGCCCTCCAGGCCCCGGCGCGTTTGACTTCCGCCAGAGCGACACCAACGGCACCGCCTTCTGGCGCCTCGTGCGCAACTTCATCCGCAAGCCCACGCCTGAGCAGGAGGCGTGCCACGCGCCCAAGCCCATCCTACTGGATGTGGGTGAGGCGCGCGGCTGGCGCTGCCGCGGCTGCTGGACCTGGGTGGGGCTGGGGGAGCTGGCGGGGGAGGTGTGCGAGGCTCGCCAGCCCCCTCCACCTGTCAGCCGCTCCCGCAACCTGGTGGTGGCAGCAGCAAGCACGTGTGCCTGCGCCTGTGCCGCCTGCCTGGCCCCCACAGGTGAGATGCACTACCCGTACGAGTGGGTGCCTTACATCACCGAGATACAGGTGCGCCCGGCTGCTTCCGCTGCTGGGCGCTCCTTCTATACCTGCGCTGCTGTGGGAGCGAGTGTTCAGCAAGACTGCGGCTGGGCTGGCAGCCTGCTGGTCGCCCCCGCCTCCTCACTTGCTCCTGCCGCGCCGCCGCCCTCCCCCTGGCTGTGCGCGCCGTGTGAGTGGCGCAGATCCTGCGGGCGGGGCGCCTGGTCATCCTGTGCGTGCCGGGCGAGCTGACGACGATGGCGGGGCGGCGGCTGAAGCGTGCGGTGCAGGCCACGGTGGGCGGGGCTGGAGCTGGGGCGGGCTGGGGGATGGTTTTGGGGGGAGGAGGCCAGGGGCAGGCCAGGGAGGCGGCACCAGGGTGGAACGTGGCCCGCACCTGCCAGGCCCCTGCACGCCCAGCCGCCGCTGCGGCAGCCGTCACCCGCATGCTGAGGCGGCCGCGCGGGCGCTGCGCGCAGGTGGGCGCGGCGTGGGGCGAGGGCCTGCACATTGTGGTGGCGGGCCTCACCAACACCTACGCCTCCTACATCACCACGCCAGAGGAGTATGCGGCACAGCGGTACGAGGGAGGCTTCACGCTGTACGGCCAGCACACGCTGGACGCATACATCCAGGCAAGCGCTGGAGGCTGGGTGGGGCTGGTGGGGGGCTGGCTGTGTGGTGTGTGGTGGTGGTGGTGGTGGTGGTTCTAGGAAGCAGGTGCAGTGGGGGCAGCGCCTGTGACATGGCGGTGGCATGTTGGCACGGGGGCAGGAAGGCCTGCAGGCAGAGCAGGCTGCTGCGGCACCACGCCTGCTGCTGCCCGCTGCTGCTTGGCGCCGCCATGCCAGGCCGAGCCTGCCCGGCACATCGCGCGTGCACACCTATCCCTGCATCACCCCCCCACCACCCCCACTCCTCTGGCTGCTGCGCAGGAGTTCATGCGCCTGGCGGCGGCCATGGCAGCAGGCGAGGCTACGCCGCCCGGCCCCCAGCCCCCCAACCAGCTGGCGCAGCAGTGGTCGCTGGTGCCGCCGGTAGTGGCAGACGGCGTGCCGGCTGGCAAGCGGTTTGGTGACGTGGCGGAGGATGTGGCGGCCGGCAGCTACGGGCCTGGGGACACCGTGGCCGCCGTCTTCCACGCCGGCTGCCCTCGCAACAACATCCGGGCAGAGGGCACGTTTCTGACGGGTGCGCCGGGGGGGAGTGTGCCTGGGCCGGCAGGCTGCCAGGCAGGGAGTGAGGGCTGGCCAGCCATCACGGGCGGGGGGGGCGTGGGTTTGAGATGCCGCACGTGCTGCGCTGCCCGCCTGCACCCATGGCTGGCAAAGCCCCGCGCCCACCCTTTCCCAGCCTGCCCAGCCGCCTGACGTGCCTCGACTTCCACAGCACCCCATAGTGCCCCAGCTGCTGCCGCTGCCACCCGCAGTGGAGCGCCTGGAGGGGGACGGCAGCTGGGCGGTGGTGCACACCGACGCCGACTGGAGCACGCGGTTTGCGTGGGGGCGGCCCCACTCGCTGTCGGAGCTGTCGTTTGCGACCATCAGCTGGGAGGTGCCAGGGGGCACGCCGCCGGGCACCTACCGCCTGCGCCACTTTGGGGACTGCAAGCCCTGGTTCCGCAGGTGGTGCGGGGCTGGAATGCCAGCCAAGTTTGAGGGGCAAGCCGGCGCTGCGGCGGGCTGTGTTGCGTTGGGGCAGTGTCTTGGGCCTGACAAGCGGCCCTCGATCGGTGCTAACCCACCGCCATGCCCCTGCACCCCAACCTCCCACCTGCAGCGCGAAGCCGTATGAGGGCAGCAGCCGGGAGTTTGTGGTGGAGGCAAGCGGTGGCGGTGGCAGGGGCGGCACGGGCGGCAGCGGCGGCGGCGGCGCGGGGCTGTGGGCGGAGGTGAAGCAGGTGCTGGCGGCGCTGGGGCGCAAGGCGGGCTTCGGCTGGCAGCTATTGCCTGAGCACTAGCGCCTGAGCCGGTTATCCACAGTTTGCTCACGTTTGTTATCCCCTGAAGCCTTAGCGCGAGGGTGGGCTAGAGGCTGATGTGTTTTAAGTTTTAACTCGATTGCGGAGCTCGCTCTTGCTGCCCGAGGGAAGCGTTGCAACCTACAGCTGCAGGCAGCCAGGCCTGGCCCCGGTCCAGGCCAGTTCCCTTCTTAGCACTAGCTTGGGACTGATGGAGGTGATGAAATAGAGCAGAGCAGGTTGCAACATGCGCTGCCGTGAAGGCCGGGATGGAGGGGGATGCCAGGTTTCGCTTGGTGGGTGGGTGCCCGCTGGCCTTCCGCCCCGAAAGGATCTGCCAGTACGTGGCAGCTCTCCAGAATTACAGTACACAGCTTGCTAACGAAACGATTCGCAAGGTCTGCTAAACTACCTTTCAAACGTGGATGTCAGCATCACTCGATTAATTGAACGCCATGAGTTGCTGCTTGAGCAGGGCCAGCTTCTCTGGCGAGGCCCCGTGGGCCACGGCCGCCTCAAACATCTGCGCTGCCCATGAGGGCATCTGCGCCTTGGCCGCCCCCTCCTCGGCTGCCGCCGCCACGGCTGCCGCCACCGCCGCCGCCGCCGCTGCCTTGAGCTCGAGGGGGCCGCCTGTTGCTGGCGCCTCCACGCGTGCCGTCGGCTCAGACGCGGCGGCAGGCGTGGCTGCGGGCTGGGCCTTGATGGCTGCCCCTCCTGTGGCTGCCTCCACGGCAGCCGTCACGGCGGCCGCCATGTCAGGGGTGGCCGCCGCCGCCGCCGCGACCGCCGCCTCGGCCTCCGCCTTGGCAGCAGCGGCAGCCTCCGCCTCCGCTGCCGCCTCGGCCTCCCTGGCCTTGTCCTTGTCCAGGCAGGTGACCCTGCACGGCGGCAGAGGGAGGCAGGCAGGAGCAGGTCAGGTGCGAGTTGGACACAGGCAGTGGAGAAGGCGGAGCGGCTTGCTGTGCTGGCTGGTCTCCTGCACCGGCTATAGTCTCCTGCTGCTTGCCAGCCTCTGCACACCAGCGCCGTGTCGGTATCGGTGCGGCCCCCACCAGTGCCGCCAGCTCACCAGTGCTCCATCTCCCGCTCCTCCACGGCCTCAATGCCGACCACCGACTCGCCGCCGCTGGTGACGGCCTTGACGATGCGCAGCGGGCGGGTGGCATCCCCGCTCATGCCCAGCCTGCGCAGCCAGGCAGGGAGGGAGGTCAGCAGCCCAGTTGACAGCCTGGACCAGTTGAGCAGGCTGGCACACCCCTGCTTCGCGCGCACCTGCCCCACATGCTCCTGCTGCGCAGCTGCTCCAGCCGCTTCATCAGCGGCAGCACGGCCCCACTGAGGATGTGCACGCTGCTGTGGCGGCGGCCAAACTGGCAGCCGCCCAGGTCGCACTTGTCGCCGTGCGTGCAGTGGTCCACGCTGTGCTCGTACCTGTGGAGTGGCAGGAAGAAAGACAGGAAGGCGTGCATTGCACTGGTGTACGCTGTGGGCTGCCCAGGGGAAGGCAGGGGCGTGAGGGGGCAGAGCAGGCACAGCGCCCCCGTCAAGGCCAGCGCCAGCCGGGCGCCAGGTCTCCTGCCGCAGCCCCGCCCCGCCCCGCTCACCAGAAGCGCCACACCGGCTCGGCGCTGGCGTCTGTGATCTTGCGGTAGTTCTTGGCGCTCAGCTCACCCAGCGTCATGCTGCCCGCGGCGCTGGTGTTGGGGCGCTGCACGGGAGAGTAGGGGTGGTGGCTCTTCAGCCTTCAGCGGCAGCGAGGGCAGCCGGCAAAGCTCGACAGGGCAGTGCAGTCCCAGCCAGCACCAGCATTTTTCTCACCCGGATGGCCAGGCGGGGCTGGTTGTTGAGGGTCTTGCCCACCTCCGCCGCCAGCAGGATGTAGCGAGGCCTTCGGCGGCCCCCAGCCTCCACCTCCAGACCCACTGCACCAGCGGCAGGGCAAACAACGGACCGTCAGCAGCTCGCGAGCACAAAGGTGGCAGCACGTTGGTGTTTGCAGGCATCGCCAGGCAGCTCCCCTTGGGCCCCAGCAACTCACTCATGTAAAAACCAGAGGAGTGGTGGTGGTCGGGCCCCTCCGCCGCCGCACGGCTCCGCATCGTCCCGCAGGTCGCACGCCGTCTCAAACGACACGCCGCGGTCCTGCACCGACGCAGAACAGGATGCACACGGCTGAGGTGCCCGCTGATTGCCCTGCTGGGATCCGCTCCTGCTGGGGGGCAGGGACAGCCAGGCAATTGACTCACCAGCGCCAAATCCACGCGATGCACCTGGGCGCCTGCAGTTGGAGCGCTGGGTGCCGTCAGTTGATATGCATGGCTGGCCACCAAGCCCGGCCCCTCGTGTCACAGTGCCTGCGCTGCCCACCTGTGTCGTAGTCGCCCAGGGCTTTGTAAGCAGCAATCACCTGCGGCGGCACGAGCAGACAAGGAGAAGCAGAACCATTGGCAGCACGCCAGGGCCGTGACTGAGGGCGCGGCGGCGCCCGCCCAGCAGCCTCAGGCGCCCGCCAGCCCGCCGCACCCACCTTGTCCAGCGCGGAGGCGAAGAAGTCAAACATGAGCTGCTGGTCGCGCAGGCGCATGCCCAGCAGCTTGTTGAGGAACGCCTTGACCGGCACCTTGTCCTTGGGCAGCGCCGGCTGGCCGCGCTCATTGGGCCGCAGCAGGCCCGCGCTCATCTGCAGCGGGCAGGCAGCCAGGCGTGGGCGGGGTGCGCATATTGTGCGCTGGGGCCCCTGAGCTGCCGCCGCTCAAGAAGCTGCTGCCCGAGTTCTCCAGCTGCATGATGAGCGGATCAGCGGCCGGGCTGCGACCTGTTTGCTGCCTCACCACACCCGGCAGCCTGCTGGGCTCACCAGGCGTGCCCTCATGTACTGGCAGAAGCGCGGCTCCCCCTCCTGTGCCGGCTGCTCCCCCAGCTCCGCCAGCACCTCGGCATCGCTGATGTAGCCCTGGGGCACCTCGGGCGGCGCCACCTGCAGAGGTGTGGCAAGATAGCGGCAGAACAGTTTCAGGGGCAGGGAAGGCAAGGGAGGAGCCCGCCCCTGGTGCTGCCCATGTGCGGCGCAGCAGGCGGCGGGTGGGACAGCCGTCAGGGGCCCGCTAGGGGGTTGGGAGCCAGGCGGGCGCCGCTGTGCTATTGCTGAACACACGCGGCTTCCTGGCCCATGACACAGCCGCGGTAGCAGCCTTGCTGCCTGCTGCGCCAAGTGATGTGCTCCTGTTCACTGAGACACACCACTTGCCGGGCGCCACCCCACCCAGCCTGCAGGGCTACTCGCTTGTGAACCACCGACCAGGGACCCCCTGCTCGACGGGCAGGGGACGCGGCGGCGTGGCCATCTACGCCCGCAGCTCTCTGGTGGGTCGGGTCCAGCAGTGGCACAGCTGGGAGGGAGTGGCTTGGATTCAGATCCGGGGGGAGGCTGGCCCCCCGCGATACGTGGCGAGTGTGTACCTGCCGCCACAGCGGACCAGCGAGCAGCTGGCTGCATTTTATGGGAGATTGCAGCAGGATGTCCTCGCTGCACAGGCGGCTGGCGGCACGGTATGCATTGGGGGGGACCTCAATGGCCGCACCGCCAGCCTGCCAGACTGGGTGGAGAGTGAGGAGGGGCGCACTCTCCTAGACCGCTGCGTTGCGCTGCCCCCCCGCGCTAGCTGCGACGGGGAGGTAAACCCCCAGGGGCGGGCGCTCCTGGGTTTCTGCGCTGCCACGGGCCTGGC